GCAAAATAATAGTAGAAGCGTACCGTATACAAGGTCAGGGTTGACTGAACGAAGCTTCTCAATCACTCTCAGGAAAGTTTCCAGGAAAGAGAGGGGTCCGATGTAGCCTGGAGTGAAGAGGAGGGAAGGGGGAGGGAAGGAGAGAGAGGGGCAATGACGGCACGAGGAAAGAGAGAGGGGTCCGATGTTTTATGGTGGGAAGAGAGAGGGAGGAAGGTAAGTTGATTCTTGAGAATTCTCAAAAACCAAGAGAGAGGGGGAAGGTAAGTTGAGAGTTATCAAAAACAAAGAGCGAGGGGGGAAGGCTATTGTCGCGACACAGCAGCAGGGGAAGAGGTGAGTGTAGTAGAGAATTGTTGGGAGAAAGAGATGGCATGTATAATTGAAATATAAGTGGCGAGAGGGAGAGGTACACTACTGTACTGTACAAAGTATGAAGGAGCGCAGGGATCGAGGCGCGGGGATAATGGAACATTACAATTTCGAGGCGCGAGCAGGGAAGAGGTGGAGGGCGTCAGCAGAAGCCCCATCTGACGCAAGGTCGGGCCCAGGGAATCTCAGTTCCCAAGGAAAGGAAGGGAGAAAAGCAGTGGAGCAGGGGGGAGGGAAGTGTAAATAGATCGAGACTCTGTAGGCTAATCGTTTCTCGCTTGTATGTTTTCCTACTATACTGCAATTACGCTCTACGCCTACTAGAGTCCAGCAGTACGGGAATTCGGTCCCAAGTGGATCCGAGCAGCCAGGAAGAGGCTTGTAACATACAAGCGAGAAAAAGGGGGAGGGACCCGCATCCGAGAGCAGTCGCTGAGGTGGGGATCTAACCAGCGGAGTGCGAGGGGCGAAGGGCGCGTCGCGACGCGCGCTGTGATGAGTCGGGAAACGAGTCCCGAGGGACGTCGTCTTAGATCGGGGACGAGGTATCCAGCGAGAAGCATGGGGGAGGACGTGCAGCCTCCTCTGCGTCCGGTGTACCGTGCAGGACCGCACGAGCCCGATGAACGTGAAGCGGATGCTTCAGCGGCAGCGAGATCAGGAGTCCCACGCAGAGAAGACATCGGATCTCCAGATCTGCGGAGCCGCGGCGGATCAGGACGGGATCCGCGCAGGGAAAACGTAAGCTTGCCAGATCCGTGGACTCGCGCCGGATTCGGACTGAATACGAGCGGGGAAGCATCGCGGCGCGGAGAAGGACCGCGGGAGCAAGACGAAGCAGGGAAGGAAGAAGAAAGACAGCAGGATGAACTGTCGAAAGAGCACGGACCTAGATCTATGTCAGAGCGGGCGGCAGGAGGTTATGCTGCGGGCAAAGCAGGAAGAACGAATTCGTGGGAGAGCGGACGGTCAGCAGTCGCCAGCGTACCTAAGATAGAGGTGTCAGAGAGGTTTTCGGGTGAGCCAGGAGAAGAACCATCCTTAAAAAACTACATCATGCTGATTGAAGACATTCGCTATTGCTGGGATCGAGAAGGGCTGGATCCAGTGGAGTTCTTTAGGGGCCTGGGAAAGACGCTCCGAGGGGAGGCACAGACGCACTATCGAGTGGAACGGGTGAGGTTGCTCCGACTGTGTGAGCGGGGGGAAATTTCGCCTCGCAAGCTGATAGACGAATTTTATGACATCCTACGAGAGCAATTCCCAGGCAACACTGCCGAGAGGGTGGCGGAGTTCAGCGAGTTTCGGAGAGGTAGAGGGGAAGCATTGCTGGCCTATTATAACAGGCTAGTGGAGTTATCAGAAGATCTCAACTGTCTGAAAGACCGTCTCATGGTCACGAAGTTCTTGGGAGGATTAGATGAAGAATTAGTAAATGAGATGCGGGGGGCGCTATATCCAATTCGGTCGAGAGCCACGCTGAGGCAGGTATACAAGATCGCTAAAGAGGCAGAAGAAGGAAGGCGATATGTAGATATGATGAGGGGAGCTCGGAGGCCCGCAGAACGGAGAAGGCCGATGTGGTCGGCGACGGAAGCATGGCGGTCAGAGGAAGAAAAACAGGAGAGACCGAGAGACGAGCGTCACTGCCACAAGTGCGGGGAAGTTGGACACCTACGCAAGGACTGCGGGGTGGGCATCAAGTGTGACCACTGCGGGCAAATGGGCCACTTCGGAAGAAACTGCCCCAGAGCCCCCACCTGCAACGAGTGCGGAAAGAGAGGGCACATTAGTAGCCAGTGCTACAGGAGGGGAGGAGGACAAATGGGGAGATCGACGAGAGAGCAAGAGCTGGAGCAGGAGGTAAAGAAGCTGAAGGCACAGCTGGGAAAAGCATAAATCAGAGAACATCCTGCAAAGGCCATGATGCCGTGGGAAGATGCCGAGGATGAAGCAGAGTACGAGGAGGATCCAGAGTCTAAGTATGCATTGGTAGCGACGCTGCCGCGAGACAGAGACGATCTGGGACTGAGGAGTGGAGGTGCAGACGGTAGGAGGAGCAGAAGACAGTGATGCAAGGCAAGAGGAGGGGAGAGACAGCAGAGGAGAAGCGAGAACGAGCTAAGCGCCATCCCGAAGACAGATTGGTGTGTCTGACGACCGCGCTACTGGCAGAATCAGGGACCATCGCAGTACAAGGGATGAAGGTGGAGAATGCCATTATTGATACCGGAGCCCAGAGTGTACTAATGGGGAGGAAGTTAGCCGAGCGGCTGAGGCAGCAAGGGAAGCTGGAGACAGTGAGCAAGGGGATACTTATCATGACTGCGGAAGGCGGGCCACCCAAGTGGATGCCGAGCACGAAGGAGCCGGTTGAGATTGCGCTGCTGCCAGGGAAGAAAGAGGAGACGAGGATTCGGGTACAGTGTGGGCTCTCTGAATCAGACAACTATGATTTGCTAGTAGGAATGGAGTTAATCTACAAGATCGGAGCACAGATTGACGCTTGGGGGGAGAAGCTCACCTGCAGAACCGAGTACTGGAAGGAGGGAGGGGCACAGGGAGAACTGCCAGTGCGATTTGTAAAAATGGAGCCACGGAGGGCCCTGAGAGCCACCGAGCCTCAGCAGAGGGCAGGGGAGGAAAGGAACGAAAAAGGGGTGAATGGAGCTGCGCAAGGCAAGACAGAAACCCTCAGTCGGCAGGTGGAAGCAACGCTGGGCGAACGGCCGATCACGCTAGTGGAGCTCTTCGGAGGCATAGGAGCAGGATTAGCAGCGGCGCTGGAGGCGGGACTGGTCGTGCAGAGATGGATCTTGGTGGAAATAGACCCAACAGCCAGGCGCATGGCCTGGCATCATGCGGAGCAGCTGCGGCGAAGATATCCAGGGCAGACATGCAAAGCTGTGATAGAGGAGGCTAAGCGGGAAGGAGCATGGGATGTGCGCCAGCTGAACGAGGCAACGGTATGGGGATGGGGTCAGGTAGATCTAGTGGTGGCGGGATGGGAATGTCAGGGCACATCGCGAGCCGGAAAGGGGCGGGGAATGGGAGACTCACGCACGGCGCTCCTGGATGAGCTACTGCAAGTGCTACGATGGATTAAGGAAGGGGGGTCGAGGTGCTGTTACATAGTGGAGCATGTAGACATGGTGGGAGACACGCGAGAACCAGTGAGAGCAACACAAGAGAAGGTAGTGGCGGAGCTGGGGGCAGGCGTGAGTTGGGATGCAGCGCTGAACGGAGCAAGGGCAAGGCGGGTGAGAAGATACTGGCAGAACGCTGTGGAGACTGAGAAGCTGAAGCAAGGACTGGCTGACCTGAGAAGAGATACGAAATTGCTGGTGGAGGACATTCTAGGACCAGGACGAACAACGGCCCCGGTGGAAAAGAGAGACCACCCTAAGCAGCTGCAATGCAATAAGCCGGGCGAGCCAAGAAGATTATGGCCTACCTTGGTGGCCTACGAAGGAGCCCGAGGGTTTGTGATGGAAGAAGGCAAGCCGGGACCAGGCATGGTTTATGACAGAGAAAGAGGACAGTGGGAAGAACCAACAGCGACCGAGCGAGAACTGGCGATGGGATAGGTACCGGGGGCAACAGCGGCACGAGGAGTACAAGAGCAGGAGCGAAGGGCCGCCCTGGGGCGGGCAATGGATCAGCATGCGTTACGGTGGCTGTTAAAGGAGATGGTGCAGCAGCGGGACGAAGAGGAGCCGAGAGGGCAGTTGGGACGAGGGAGCAGTGAGCAGATCAAAGCTAGCCGAGCATACCTGACACAGGAAGAAGAGCAGGAAGAGGAAAAAGACGCAAAGAAGGGAGAGGAGACTGAGAAGGAAGGCCTGAGACAGTGGGAAATGAGCCCCGACCTGGATAGTAAGGTGGCAGCAATGATCCAGCAAGTGTTGGCAGAGCATCGGAAGACTTTCTCGTACACCTTGCAAGACCTGGGGAAGTGCAAGTTGCACGAGCTCGAGCTACCACTAGACACCACGGTGCCCATCTACCAGAGGAGGCGGCGGATGAGCCCGGGAGACGAAGAGATCTGCCGTGGCAAGTGCAGAGAGCTGCTAGATGCGGGACTGATACGACCGTCGAACTCGGCATACGTAGCAGCTACGGTGGTGGCAGCGAGGACAGACTTGAAAGGAGAAGTACTAGCTAGAAGAATGTGCGGCGAATATCGAGAGTTAAATCGCATAACAAAAGCAGATCGATACAGCATGCCAACTGCAGAGGAGATCTTCGACAGGCTGGAAGGAGCAGTCATCTTTTCAACGCTGGACATGCGACAGGGGTTCAATCAGACAGTAATCAAGGAAGAAGACAAATGCAAGACCGCCTTTCATGGAGTGGATGGCCTGTACGAATGGAACGTGATGCCGTTCGGGCTGAGGAACGCATCAGCCGTGTTCCAAAGAGTCATGGACCAGGTACTGAAAACAGTACCATCAGCAGCGTGTTACATTGACGACGTGGTGATCCACAGCAAGAGTGAGGAGGAACATGCGGAGCATCTGAAAAGCAACACTGGACGCAATAGCAGCCGCGGGACTAACCTGTCATCCGGAGAAGTGCAAGATAGCTAGGAGGACAATTGCTTACCTAGGATTTGAAGTTTAAGGAGGAAAAATGGGTATCCGGGAGGCGAAGGTGGCTGTGCTCGACAATCTGGGGGCACCAAAAGATAAGGGAGTGCTGAGAGCACTCCTGGGGTTCCTGAACGACTACCGACGCTTCATCCCCAATTTCAGCAAGAGAGCTCATCGGCTAAACCAGCTGCTAAGGGAGGGGCAAGCCTGGAAGTGGGAACCGAAAGAGGAGCAGGCAAGAAGGGATCTGCTAGAGGCCATCAAAGCAGGAACGGTGCTGCAGCTGCCAAGGAGAGACGAACCGTTCACGCTTAACACGGACTGGAGCAGCATGGGCATGGGAGCAGTATTGTGTCATGAGGTGGAGGGAGAAGAGCGAGTGGTGGCCTATGCCAGTCGAAGCTGCACAGCAACAGAAGCCAACTATAGTTCATACGAAGGGGAAGGACTGGTAGCTGTGTGGGGAGTAACACACTTCAGGGCCTACCTGCAAGGGCAGAGATTCACGCTGATAATAGACCACCAGCCACTCTTATGGCTGATGACCAACAGATCCCTGACGGGGCGGAATGCCCGGTGGGCGATGCGACTGCAAGAGTATGATTTCATCATCAAACATCACGCAGGAAAGACGCTACAGCATGCGGACGGGCTGTCCCGGAATCCACCCCCAGCAGTAGAGCAGCAATGGGCAGCAGTGGCAGCAGAGGGAGAAGAGAAGGGACAGGTGCAGGAGCTGAAGGAACAAAAAGCAGCGGATATATCGCAAGACAAGGAGACACTCCACTGGGTGCAAGGGCTGACCGAAGACACTGCAGCAGTAACTGCAAGGGCGAGAAATTTGGGGGCATTACCAGTGGTTTCAGAGTCAGATGCAGCTGCGCACGTCAGAAGGATGGAAGGTGGTGCCGAAGCCAGAAGAGAGGGAGCAGATCGTACAACAAGTGCATGAGAAGCTAGGGCATTACGGAGGAGCCAGGACAAGGCAGTTACTATGCACCACCTACTGGTGGGCGGGAATGAGGAGAGAGGTGGCGCAGTGGGTGCAGGGGTGTGAGTGTAAGAAACAAAACTTTGATTGATTAAAATGAGAGAGGGCATACAAGCTTAAGTACGAACCATAGGAGAGGGTTGGAAGGGATAAGGGAAATCGGAGGGAATCCCAAGGGAATCCTCCCAAATCATGGGGATTTGGGATGGATTGGGTTGGGATAGGTTGGAGATAAAAAGCTACACCCAACCTAACAAACATTCCTAACCCTAAACAAACTAATGACTAACACACAAATGTGCAACATTGCAGCCTATCTCCAACACACCCCATAGGCTGCAACGGCGGAAGTCATCGGGACGCCAAGACCCATAGCACGGAGGAGGCGGTAGTGGTCACGGCGTCCAAGAGACTTGGTGAAAAGGTCTGCCATGTTGCAGTCAGCTCCGGCATGAGGTAGGTAAGCCATCGGGCTTCTTGGGCTGCCATGGTGCCTGCGTACAGCTCTGCTTCGCAGGACGACAAAGAGACGGACGATGAGCGTGTAGATCGCCAGCTGATGACACCACTACCAAGGGTGAAGCAATAGCCCTGGGAGGAGCGTCGGTCAGCTTGGTCATCGGCCCATGAGGAATCACTGTACCCCTCGAGGTGAGGAGGGGACGTGCCACCGAGAGTGAGGACAAAGTCCTTGGTGGCTTGAAGGTAGCGAAGGACACGCTTAGCAGCAGACCAGTGGCGATTGGTGTAACGACCAGCAGCAACGTAACGTGAGAGCACGCTGATGGGATAGGCCAAGTCGGGCCTTGTGCACATCATCGCATACATGAGTGAGCCGATGAGCTCGGGATAAGCTGCATCACAAGGCTCAGGTGATGGAACTGGCGGGGCAGTTAGATCGTGCTGCAGGGGAAGCGGCGTAGCCACTGACTGGGCTTCGTCCATGTCGAAGCGCTTGAGGACGTTGTTCATGTAGAACTCTTGCGAGAGAGTACTGGTTTGGGCTTCACGATCCCGCGTGATTTCCATCCCAAGGTAGTTCTTGAGTTCGCCGAGATCCTTCATCGCGAGCGCGTCCCCTAGGGCTTGCTTGACTGCCGCCAGCTGATCGGAGTCCTTGGAGACGAGGTTCATGTCGTCAACATAGACGAGAATGAAGAACGGCTTCTCGTTCTTGCGAATGAAAATGCTCGGATCGGCGGCAGAAGGATGAAAGTCGAGTGACTCGAGGGTGGCCTTCAGCTTCTTATGCCATTCGCGAGGAGCTTGATTCAGCCCGTAGACGGGTCGATTCAACTTCCAGACTGTTCCGGGTGGAAAGGGTAAGGGGAACCCTTGAGGCCATTCCATGAAAATATCCTCAGGAAGGTCTCCTTGCAGGAATGCCGCTGAGACATCCATGGAGTGGACCTCGAAGTTGCCTCGAGCAGCGATGTCAAGGAGAGTGCGAAGGGTAGGCAGTTTAGCCGTTGGGGAGAAGGTGTCAAAGAAATCCAAGCCCTTTTTCTGTGTGTAGCCTTTGGCACAGTAACGTGCCTTAAAGACCGGAAGTTCGCCAGGTAGCTGTTTGACACGAAACACCCATTTGCAGCGGACGATGTTCACTCCTGGGGGAGGAGAGACGTCGGTGAAGGAGTTGTTGCGAATGAATGCTTCACACTCGGCGATCATGGCTGCGAGCCACTGCGGGGAGTGCGGCCCAGAGATGGCTTCATTGTATGTGTTCGGGGTCGGGATGGATGGATTCTCTGAGACGTTGAGGGTTGGAGCGTCTGCAAGATCGGGGAAGAGATAGCAGAGCAGGCGAATGGCAGCATCGATATCAATCAGCTCCTCATGCCTATCCTCCAGCAGGTCAGGCATGAGTGCACCCCCGGCAGGAGGCGGCGGATTGAGGGAGATGCGGACGGAGAGAGCAAGAGGCTGGATGGGACCATGAGAACAAGTACGATGAGCGACGGGGGAGGAAGGAGGCGGCGGAGGAGTAGGTGGGACGGAAACATAAGAACGACCTTGGCGACGACGCTAATAGGTGACGGGTGGGGCGGCGGGAGGGGGATCGGCAGGTGCGGATGCAGGAGAAGGGGGGGAAAAGGGCGCAGGCAATTGTGATAGCGCGGGAGGAGGGGAAGAGGGAGCACCCGAGGTGGCAGGGGAAGGAGGGTGGGAAACAGCGGAAGGAGATGGAGCGAGTGAGGAGGAGAGGGTAGATGAATCAGGAGTGGTGGCAGCGGGGATGGAGAGCGAGGTGTCGAAATCGGCCCAGACGAGCGAGGGTGGAGCGGGGGCGGGAGACGAGTGAAGATAAAATGGGCGAGTCTCGTCAAAAGCGACATCTCGGCTACGAATGCGTTGATTTGTGGATGGATTGAGAAAAATGTAGGCTGGAGAATCGAGGTTGTGACCAAGGTAGACGCATGTCTGAGTCTTGGGAGCGAACTTGCCGCCATGGGCGCGGCGATCATGAGGATTGAGGAGGACATAAGCGGTGCACCCCCAGACGCGGAGCGGGCGTGCACTTTGCTTGGAACCTATCCAGAGCTCGGCAGGCGTAACCTCGGGGCCAAGGGGATGAGGGTGAAGGTTGTAGAGGAGAGTGGTGTGAAGGAGAGCGTATCCCCAAAGGGAGGGTGGAGCGGCAGCGTGCGTGAGAAGACAGCGGGCAATTTGCACAAGAGTGCGATTGCGGCTTTCCGCGATGCCATTCTGCTCCGGGCTATGCGGAAGAGTGAAGGTTTGGCGAATTCCTTGCGAAGCGCAAAATGTGTGAAGGGTATGATTGCGGAACTCGCCACTGCCGTCGGAATGGAGACACTTGACGGAGGTGCGAAAGTGGATTTGAGCTTGCTGAACCTAAGCGATGACGGTATCAGGGACCGCCGCTTTGGAGGAAAGGAGGTGGACAGATGCGTAGCGAGAGTGATCATCCACGAGTACCAAGAAGTATGAATGCCCACCACGGGATTGAATAGGCGCCGGCCCCCAGAGATCCATATGGATGAGATCGAGGGGGGCGGCTGCGGCGGAGGGTGATGGAGGGTGAGGCAATTGACGCAATTTACTTTGTGTACAGTCCAGACAGGGAGGTGCTCGTGAAGGCGATGGTGGGGGCAAGAGAGTCGGGAAGATGGAGAAGGAGTTTCTTGGAGGCAAGCTCTGAGATGGTGCGAAAATTGGGGTGCCCAATCCGGTGGTTGAAAAGCAAGGTGGGGTCGGAGAGGTGGCGACACGAGCACGTGGAGGTTGTGTGAACTTCAGTGCGAGGTGGAGGCACTTGAAGCGTGTAGAGGTTGTTGGAGGAGAGAGTGAAGCACGCGAGACGCGTGTTGGAGGTTGGATCAATGAGATCACAGTGGTTGGAGTGAGCGGGGAAGATGGTGGTGACCCCTGCGCGCTGAATTTCGTGCTGTGCGAGGAGATTGTGCCTTAGCGTGGGAAGGCATATACCAGTGAGAGAGCCGGAAGGGAATGCTGGGCATGGAAGTGTGGATGAGCCATGGGCGAGGGTGCTGAAGCTCGAGTCGGCACCAAGTAAAGGGATGGGTGCTTGGTATGGTTTGAATGACTCTTTGTCCTTGAGGACGGTGTGGGTTGCTCCGCTATCAAGGACGAATTTGAGTGTCGAGGAGCGTTCAAGCACCGAGTACTGCGAAGTGGTTTCATTGATCATGGCAACGCATGGGAATAACAAGTTGAGACGAACATCAGGACTAGAGTTGTTAACAGTTGCATCCTGACTAGTCTGAACTTCAAGCTGGTTGGCCTGGCGCATGCGGAGCCAATTGGGTGACTTGGAGATGACGCCATTCTTCGCAAACCACTCGTCGTCTTTCTTTTTGAAGCACGTGGCGAGTGGATGATTGGTGCCACCGCAGACCTGCCCTGCGCGAGGGCCCATTTTAATTACGTAGGGGCAAGGCGGGTAGCGGTTACGAGCTGGAGGCGCATTGGGACGTGCAGTTGGGGAGGAGCTTGGAGCGCGAAGTGCATTTGCTCGAGCCTGAGCGGTGTTGTCTTTCTCGGCGGAAAGTAGCGCAGAGGAGACTTTAGCGAAGGTGAGCTCTTTCGGCGGGAGGTGGAGGAGCATGGAGCGGGTGACATTGTACGACGGAGTCAACCCAACGAGGAGAGCTGTGGCAGGGGCTTGTTCTGGGAAAACAATGCCAAACTGCTTCAGCTCCTGATGAATACCCTGAATCTCCGCCACATAGTCTGCCATGCCAGGGCATTCCTCCAAGCGCACTTGAAACATGCGAGGAATGAGGATTGCCACCCCCACAGCAGTTTTGTTGAGGAAGCGGTCGTTGAGGTACTCCCAGATGGCATCGTTGCAAGGGCAACGGGCGGCAGCCCGTTCAGCTTCGACGCGCAGGGCGACGGGCGACGGGCGACGACCCGTGACAGGTGTGATGAGTAGATGCGAGGCGACAGGTGGCAGCCCGACGTAAGGTGCTGTGCAGATGCGGGGCGACGGGCGTCAGCCTGAAGAGAAGCGCCGCGCAGATGCGGGGCGACGGGCGTCAGCCCGAAGAGAAGCGCCACGCAGATGCGGGGCGACGGGCGTCAGCCCGAAGAGAAGCGCCGCGCAGATGCAGGGCGACGGGTGTCAGCCCGAAGAGAAGCGCCGCGCAGATTGAGGCGGCTAGAGAAGCTTTGCGTCGTAAGACGCAAATGCTAAGCTCCAACAGAGCAAGAGGATCAAGAGCCGCTTAGGCGGAAACGAGCTCTGATACCATGTAAGAAACATAACTTTGATTGATTAAAATGAGAGAGGGCATACAAGCTTAAGTACGAACCATAGGAGAGGGTTGGAAGGGATAAGGGATATCGGAGGGAATCCCAAGAGAATCCTCCCAAATCGTTGGGATTTGGGATGGATTGGGTTGGGATAGGTTGGATACACCCAACCTAACAAACATTCCTAACCCTAAACAAACTAATGACTAACACACAAATGTGCAACATTGCAGCCTATCTCCAACAGTGAGGCGTGCCAGCGGAATAAGGGCAGGGATGAATTGCAGTCACTTCCCATACGTGGCCTAGGATTCAGGTGGTCCTTGGATGTGGCGGGCGAACTACCTTTATCCAGGCGAGGAAGGATGCATATTGTCGTGATGCTAGAGCATACAACAAAATGGGTGGAGGCGCGGGCTATAGCCAGCAAGAATAGTGGACTGATCCGAGAAGCATTTTTGGACCAAGTTCTCACCAGATTTGGGGCATGCGGGGAGGTGCTGACAGACCAGGGCACCGAGTTCCAAGGCAGCTTCGCAGAGCTCTTAAAAGAGGTAGGCATCACGCACAGAGTGACCTCGCGGTACCATCCTCAGTCCGACGGGTTGACAGGACGGATGATACAGACTATAAAAAAAGGACTGCGGGTGTACGGAGAGCAGAAAAAGAGAGAGTGGGATGCAGAGCTGCCATGGGTGCTGGCAAGCTATCGGTTCGCAAAGCAGTCAGCTCTGAAGGACATGTCCCCGTATCACTTGCTGTACGGAAGAGAGCCCGTGCTGCCCGTGGATGTGCCCAAGCTACTCACCGAGTCAATGAACGA